CCAAACAATTCCCCCCCCCCACACACACACACACATTAACAAACAACATTACTGGGTTTCGGCCTCACTCTACCCCAACACTTGCTGGAAGAGTCAGATCTTCAAGGCCTTCCAGAAGTCTAGGAAGATAGGACCCTGCCAGATCCCAGATAACCTCTGTTATTTGTATCCAGTGTGAATTTTATTTTTTTATTTTTTTAGTTGAAATATGGTGACATTTTAGAATATATCTACCATCCGCCCCTTGTCCCTGTGGTTGTTTGCTGGCCTCTTCTGTGCAAACTTTATAGCGCTTCTTAGTGAGAGAGAATGTGTGTCAAGTATAATGTTCTGCTCTTGTGGTTCTCTTATTCAGAGAAAATAGATGAACGGGTATCATCAGCCACAAGGAAGAAGAGGTGGAGGTACAGAAAGGAACCCCTAAACCTTGAGTCCCCATTGGGGTATTGCCTCAGCAGGTGTAACATGGTATCAACATAGCATAACTTTGAAAATGTATATGCAATGTTGGTGGTACATACTATTGAGTATGTATACTTACTGTATATTGCATCCTGTTCCAACACTACCCCTTCTGACATGTCAAAACAAAGAAGAGAGCTAAATATTTGGAAAGAAATTGCATTTTTTGCATAATTAAATCTTGGTCAGTAGAACTTGAAGAATTTAGCTTGGATTAGAATTTCGTAGGATGTCAAAAATATTTCTATGCTTTGAAAACTATCTTTCTTGTTATGAAATATTGATTATGTGACTTTTAGTTGATACACGGGTGATAAAAAATGATTTTGTATTAATTATATAATATATAATAGACCCTGAAAATGAGTTGGTATCACTGCAATCCCCAGTTGATCAGAATGGTTCAAGTAGGATCATTACTTCTCTTTCCTCTGTGACATATGAGTTCTGTATCATACACAAGAGAAAACTAACATCAGCTATGAGAAGTTGTGAGAAGGTTTTTTTAAAAAAAAATGTTTCAGAGTAATCTAAATGAATCCAGAATGAACCTGTTCAGCAATCACTGAGAACACCAGGGTATGTTTACTATTTTTAGGTGGATAGGAAAACCAGAGAGCAGGGAGATATGAAACAGAGTATCACTAAAGGAGGTGTGGTTAACTATAACACCAGCATATAGAAGGTCTTCCCATTTCATTCTGTTGTTGCATTTTTGTTTCAAGTCCCACATACAATTTTCTAATCATGTATATTCAGAGATCTTGTATATGAGTAGCTGTAAGAAATGGACAGTAACTATGAAATTTGGAGTATGTAACACAGAAGGAGCACAGTAGGGCAATTATCTGGATAAGACAGGAAACAGAAGCTATGATAATTTCTATGTAACTATGTAAATACTTCTCATTTTATCCTCTGTTGTCCAACTACCATCTTCCATTACAAGTGCAAGTGGAAAATAAAGGCCAGTTAAACATATTTTCATTCAAGTTAACCAGGAATATCCAATGACATACAGGTTAAATAAATACTGGCATCGGTATATCCAGCATATTCTAGCCACATTAATAAGTGTTGGGAAAGTTCCTTATGAACAAGTCTTTCTGACTGAGTGTATGTTTTCAGAGGTGCTATTATTGGTGAAATGCTGCTGAGTAATGCTATTGGAGACAGTAAATATATGCTGGCATTTCACTAGTCCTTCTGCTAAACTGAGCAGATCTGTCTGACTGCTGAACCTGAAAATTCCCAAACTCAAATAGCAATCCCTATGCTTTAAAAAAAAAAAAAAAAGACCTTTCAGTCCCATATTGTATTATCCTAGGTTATTTGGATTTGTTTTATAAAGTGGATGCTTTTACTTCTTTTCTGCTATGTGCCTTTTTAATATATATTTTCATAGTACTCCAAAGGCTTAAACGATCTCAGCATGAGGGTTTTCTCTGCTCAGAGGTGAACCCAAAATACCTTTATGGATGATAAAAAATAAAATTATGATTGAACAAAATGCTGTATATAAACACATTGGTTTTGATTTTTATTTCAGTATAGCATATCTGGAAATTAAAAAGAACTCAGGTATTGAATACTGTTGTCAACTTATATAACAAAAATACTATACATTGCCCATCTTCTATATAACCAAGACAAAAGCATTCCATATTTTTAAAAGTAAATCATTCATACATGTATTTTCCACATGTATTTTTCTTTTCAGGTTTCCCATGTTGACACGTGTTTCTATGTTGGTGTGTGACACTAAAACAGTCCATTCATGTGATCTCCTTGATGATATAGAAATGAAATTCTATTTAAAAGGCTACCTGAGGCGGATAGATTCCAAGCTTTTTGCTGCATAAAGGGCAGATTGGTTCAAGATTAAAGATTAAAATGCACACACATAGAGAAAGACATGCTATAAGAAGAGGGAATATGGCTAGGTGCATCTGAGCCGGCTTACAAATCACCTGTTAGCACATTAGATTGAAAGAAATAGTCATAATTATTTATCAAAGACCATAGCTTCGGTTTGATATGTTGCATAAGAGAATTATATGGAATTCTCCATTTTATATAAGCTGTTGCTTTTAGAGGGTTGGAACTATGTAATTCTTTCATTAGTTGTGTTTTGGTTGTTATGGTAAGTAATATACATTGTTAATTCAAATCTTCTTCTCAAAACATAATGCATTAATCACATGAACCCTGACTCATTCATATCCAGATGTCCTTCTGTCTGAAATCAGAAATGTTAAATATGCTTTGACTTATGGTCTTTGAATTGTATAAAGTGCTGATTGACTATATGTCAATGTGGATTTATTAGCAATTATTATGATAACAGTCTTCAGAGTACTGTATGGATTTTGTTGGAGAACAGTATTCAAAAGGTTACTTTATGAATATATTACACTATAGATTCACACAGTAGAATTTTTGACTTTTCCCCTTTGAACAGCAGACCCAAATAATAGATAATAAACTATCTATGAAATTTTTGTTATTTTTAAATACAATAGGTTTTCCATAAAATATGGATGGCAACTTCCTGTAGTTCTTTGGATCCAGATCATATGATTCAGGGTGGGCTAGGGTTAAAATACATCTTGAATAGCCTAAATTGAATTTCTTAGATGTTTTCATCACATCCTCATTTGTTAAACAGCCTTAATAAAAGTCCATTTGATTCATTATGTACTGAAAATTTAACTATCAATGTAAAGAAGTAATCTATACATATAAAATTCATATTTTATCAAATTTAAATTAAATTTAAATTAAATCAAATTTAGTCAAATTAATTACATTAACACAATATATACTTTTTCCCTACTAGTGATTTTTTTTTTTGAATTGTTGGAATATTTTTAGCATTTATGTTTGTGTGGAATTTGCATCCTTTATTTTTCCAGTACAAATGTTGACTTTTTTTGTGTTACATTTTTTCTTTTTCAATTTCCGGATAGTTTTCTTTAAATTTTTGGGAATCTGCCATTTTTGAATTATCTTTTTTTCCCTTTATTCTCCTGCTCACTCTGAACCTAGGAGCCAACACAAAGAAAAGCGCAGATGATATAACCAGTAATGATCGTGGGGAAGATGAAGGTATTTTTGTTGTTCTTTTTTTCCCAAAAAAACTTAGTCCTGATATGCATGAACATAAACTTTTCCCCTCCTTTATTTAATCACACACATTTTGGTGTGGTGTTTCTTTTTGTCTTATCTAGAATCAACCTTCCTTTTTTCTAAAGACACAAATTAGCATTTAGATTACCACAATTCCTATTTCAGATAAGAGTACAGATTATCTGTAATATCTGTGAAGTGAGTAACATAAATGTTATTTACAATCAAATGCTTATTCTATTCCCAACTTTTGGGGAAGAAAAGAAATGAAACTGAAATCTTGCATGTCTATTTTCTTTTTCTTTTCTCTTTTAGTAGCTTGTAAATTCACCTTCATGTTATTTTTCTCTTTCTCTTTTCCTTATACTGGATGCAATTACACTTCCCATGGTTTTTTCTTTTTCTTTTTCTTTTTTCTTCCTCTTGTCTTCAGTGTGTAACAAATCAAGAAACTTTAGGGGTGCTTTCTAGCTTGCTTTGTTTTATTCTTTAAAGCTTCCTTCTTTTGCATGTAATTGGGGCAAAATTGCCTCTACCATTTATTCCCACATTTCTCCTGAGAAACTATCTTGTGAGTTTATACAATAACCAATAATATCTATCCTATTTGGAGTTCCATCACTTGCATGTTATTTTAAAATTGCGAGGAAGACTATTTCTGTAAATGTTTTAATAGAATCTATGTATGAGTGTAACTGCTCAGGCAGTATCAGCCATGACAGACTGGTAGGGGTGTGTGTGTGTGTGTGTGTGTATATATATATTAAAGATATTGTTTAAACTACCTGATAATGATCAGATGCAAGAGATTTGGAACTTTCCTATGAACTTAGTTAATACTTGCAGAGCACTACACTGTGCTATAAGAAAATGCTTTTCTCTCGCTAAGTAAGTCAGAAAGTTGCATACATTATAAGAGCCTAGTTTTATTTTTTTAACCTGCATACTCTTTCAAATTTCAGTGATAAAAATGATTCATCCAGAAACTTTTTAAAATGGATATCGGATACATTTTGATGGCTTTACAGACTTAAAATAAACCTAGCTTAAAGTTACACTTCATGACAAAATTTGCATTGTGAAAGCATTTTCTGTCTAGGATGACCTTTTCATGGGATAATCTGTTGGAATATGAAGCCTGCAGAAGAATAACATGAAATTAGGATTGAATCTTGTGGTATAGATAAAATTAATTGAAATATGTATTTGTTTCAGGAATGTGTGCTTTTGACATCTTCTCTTGGGATGGTCTTGTTTTAGCATTATTACCTGATTTTTTTCTCTATTTTCATATCTGATGCACTCTATTCCTATTTAACAATTTGTCTTTCTATTCCATTCCATTCACAAATATGCATAGTATGATGGGATCACCTTTTAATATCCCTGTTTCTCAAGAGTACAGAATGATTTCTGTTTTTTTAGAAATATAGATGCTAAGATATCTGCTTCTTGGGTAATGCAACTGTTACTTTTTTTTTTCTTTGTAGTCCTCAACTATTTTCAAATAATGAACCTAGGTCTTTATTCCATATTCATAATATAGGATTGTAGGATCCCAGGAAAAGCCTAGTTTAGCTGTAAGACTACTTCACCTCCCATTAAAAAGTCTTACATGAATATAATAACAATATATTAAATAATAATATATGTGATATTTCTGCAAATGTCCCTTTTTATTTGAATCTATAACTAAGTATATCAGCTCTAACGATTAACTGGTCACACATTATCCAGACAAATACATCTTTGCTCTTTCTGGTTTTGATCCATATTTACCTCTTGTTGATAAGCGCATCAGTTTCTGAGGCAAGTAAGCCTTCAAGCAAAAATGCCAAGCTAAGCCAAGCCTTTGATGCCTAGCAATCAGTTTTATGGCTATTTGGAAGAGATTGTGAAATGCGTCTGGATCTGGGTTTATCATGCTACTCTACCCCATGTAGTCATTTCAAACCAATGGCAGTGCCATTAGAATGATACCAAGGCTTGATTGAGCTAGCATGCAAATGCCTTTCACGTTGGGAGAAATTAATAGTCAGCAACATGTAAGAGGAATTGTCTTGTACGGGCAATTCAGGGAACAACCACTGCTTAAACTGGCATTTGTTCGTTGGTAGAAATCACTTTGCTCACTGCCTGAAATTATTTGTTATATTATTTGCCTAAGTTAATGACAGCCCCAATGTTGATAGATGTGGAAAAGCTAAGCAGGGTTGGATCTGGTTAGTTGTTGGATGGAAGACTACCAGTAAAGTAGAGTGAGAAGTTGAAAAGAACATCCCCAAAGAAGGCAATGGCAGAACACATATTTATTATGCAGTTTACCTACTTCCAAAGTCCTCAAGGACTCTAGGTAGCTTATGTTACATGGATAATTAGTCTGGTTTAAAAGAAGCTCTAGTTGCTTTAGATAAACTGCAGTACCAGGAGTGCAATTAAATTAAAAGCATGTTTATTTTTTTTTCAAAATCTGTCAAAATACATTGTTTCAGGATCCACTACTCCCACCTACACTTTTTTACTTTGAATGTTAGTTTTTGGTGGGAGGGGTAATAAGTCTGTTGTGTTCAAACTGCATACAATCTTTGTTTTATAAATTGCAGAAAAATATAGCTAATACGTTTATTGAATTTTTGAAATGAATATTGCACTGCGGACTTTCTAACAACTGCTATAAATCTATTTTTATAGTGTTTGCTATCTATATTTTACAGATTTGAGTCTTGGGAATATTTTGTTACTATTTCAGTCCTACAATGAATTATATTCTGTACAAGTGACACTTTAGACTTTTTTTCCAGAATTCTTCCAGAAACCATATTCCCTTTATGTCATTGGTTATGACTGAAGAGAAACAGAGGTGATTATATAAGAAATACAGTTGACATTAGAAAATATGCAAAATAACTAATTTATTAGCTCTTTGGGGGTAAAAAAAAGACTGATTTTTGGTTTTTGGTTTTTTTTCATTTAATACTTGTATTACTTTTGTGTTTTCCTTACTTGTATTCTTTTCAGATATACATGATCAGAACAGCAAGAAACCAGTGATGGTCTATATTCATGGTGGATCATATATGGAAGGTACAGGGAATATAGTTGATGGCAGCATACTGGCAAGCTACGGAAATGTCATTGTTGTAACCATCAACTACAGGCTAGGGGTTCTAGGTAAGTGATTTTTTTTCCTCTTCTTATTCTTCTTTCCCCAGCTCATTCCCCTCTCTCTCTCTCAATAATTCCTGAAAACTTTTCATACTCACCTTTAATTTTTTTCTCATTCAAAAGAAAAAAGAAAAGAAAAAATCCTTGGGTTACTTACTGAGCAATGAGCTTCATTGAGTTCAATGTGACTTACTTCCAAGTCTTTACCTATACGCTCTTAAACTATAATCCTGTTTGATGTATTTGATTTTATTTTGCATTGATTTAAGTGTAGGGAACCCCTTTATGACAGTTGGTGTGGTATGGTGAAGATAATGGCTTACCATGTTGGAACTTTTTGGAGACTTTCATTCAAAATTATGATTATACCTTCTTATGATTTCACCTCGTCATTTCTTTTGTCGTCTAAGGAAAAAAGACTTGGTCCAAGCTTTGAAAGTCAACTAGATTTTCTTCTTGTTGTTGGAACTCAGTTTTGTCCAGCCTCTTGCCCTCTAATTTTCCACTTCGCTTCCATAATTCCAAGCCAGAATTGCCCAAGAAGTTGAAATCAACACATCTCAGGGACTTGTTGAAGGCTAATGTAACTTACCTGTGATTTTTTTTTTCTTTTTCCTAGATTGCAAATAATAGATTGGCAAAACCAATTTATATTGTTGGCAATATTCTCTTTTTGTGACTGTTTCTGATGTTGCAAAACTCATAAGCTGTGTGGTGTGGTAATATTAAGTCAAAATGACTACACTAAGTTTTATTGCAACTCAGTAACTTACTTATTCTTCCCCAGTAGAAAACTTCCTTACCATCACTCCTTACAATTAATTCATCCCCAAAACTAGCACTGAATAAAACTTCACTGGAGCATTCCTTGTTGCACAAATACAAATATATTAGCAGATATATTTGTATTTGTATTATGGGCAGTGGGGAAGAAGATAAAATATAAGATTTACTACTACTTGAAAAAAATATACCTGTTGCTGTATCTGAATTTGATTTCCAAATTTTAAACAATATAAAGGAGTGTATTCACTGGTCTCTGAAGGTCAGCATAATTTTCTCAGTGGCAGTTGAGTAAATTTATGTCTGCTTTTAAGATTTCTCATACAAGTTAAACAGCTCTGGATTGCTAAAACTTGTGAAACATTAGAACATAAAACTAGTTTACTTCTTGCTAATAGACTGATCATTTTGCATATGTTTATATCAGTTTGTGTGTATCTATATACAGTATCTATCTATACCTGGAAAAGATATGGTATGTCTTTCTCTCTCTCTATATATATAGGATAATTCAACTCATTGAAATATATCTATCTATCTATCTGGGCAAAAACGTTAGGCAAGTGTGAAAAATGCTGTAAAGTAA